CTCTTTTAAATAAAAATTATTGATTAAAATATTATTTATATTTATAATTCATTCAATAAATTATAATATAGTAAGTAGTACAAATATCAGAAAAAATTTCTTTGGAAAATTTTATATTGATATAAAATTTTTTCTTTTCATTTAGTGTTATTTATGAAAATTTATCAATTTTCCATTTGTTCGATATATTGCAGTATTATTTGTAAAAATTAAGTTATGTTATATAAAATTAAATTATTTTACATCTTTATATTGATTATGTAATATGTACTTCAATAGATGTCACAAATTATCTTTAAATTCTTTTATGTACTTTTGTTAATGTTGTAAATCTATATATTTGTATCAGCTTTTTAAAAATATTTCTTGTTTATTAATTAATATTTACTTTTCTTTAAGATATTTATTTGAATTAAAATTATATATTATTTGTGTATAACTTTTTATTCATTTATAAAATCGATTTTATCCTACTATTGTAATTGCTTATTATATAAAAAATTTTCCTAATTACGAAGGAATTTTATTTATTCTAAGAAGTAATACTGCTTCTTTTAATTATTTCTTTTGTTTTACATGTATTATAAGAAATATTTATGTAATTATTTCCAGGTTATATTATTTAGAATTTGAAAACTGTTTTAAGTATAAACATAAATTATTTTTAGCTATAATATATATATATATATATAATAGGTAAACGTTTTTATATTGATAAATGAATCATTTAAATCGAGAATAGAATGTATAATTTCTATATTATAAATTAAATTACATTGAAAAAATTATATCTTATCTAATTATAATTTACATTCTGAACGATAGAATGTTATATAATTTTTAATAAATATCGTTATGCAATTTCATCAATATTTGATACCAATGTACTTGTGTCATCTTTTAAACGATATTTTTGTTTTTTATTTATTAGTTAATATTTAATTTTTTTAAAATCATTTACTTAAATTAAAATTACATGTAATATAAAGACGTACATTATATATTTTAGTACCTATTTACATTAATTTAAATAATTAATAAATTATATTTTGTTATTAATACATTAGTTTTTTCAATATTCCACGCTTATGTTATATGGATTACAGTATGGATAACATCAAGTTTAGTAATTAAATTCAATTTAAAATTATAGCAATTTAATGTGTTAATTTAAATATTATTAAAGAGGCATTATAATATAACAATTTTGTAATAAATACATATGCTTTTGCTTATTCCAAAATGCATTAAACTAGATTAATGATAATACAAAAAAAAATTCATGTATCCTAATTAATATTTTTGTATTATCATTTTAACACTATTAATAACAATACTAACATTATTTAGATTATCTTAATAACAATTATTATTTAAAAGTATGATGAAAGAGAGATTACAATATGCTATGTTCATTAATATGGGGATTTAATTTACACCGAACAAATTTGTGTGAAAATTGTTAATAATTGTAAGTTAATAAAGAAGCATTTTTATTATTATCTATGCATGCACAAGTATGCGTGCACACACACGGGCGCGTGCGCATATACATAATCTTAACAGAATTAATCAAATTCCCTTAGCTTTATGAAAATACCAACAAATATTTAAAATGACGTTTATACTTTTAGAATATATTTATTTTATAACTAATATCTATTTAATTAGTTATTTATACTATGAATAATATAATAACTAAAAAGACAATAAAATAAATTTATTTTAAGTTCATGATTGCACATATTTAATAACTTATACTTTGCGTAGGTGAGTCTCCAATTCTTGGGAATCAATAATTTAAAATGTTTCATTGCATTTTTTCAATGTTCATATATAAATAGATTATAAAATCTCCTTATGCTATAATTTAACAAAAATAGCATATACTATATATTGTATATTTGAAAAATATATTTTTTAACTGTGAAAACATTATTTTACAATGAATATTATATAAACCGTTAAATAACATACTTCATATTTTATTTAAATAGATTAAAATAGAATTAAATATTAATTCTTCAATATTTTTTATTTATATATGCTTCATTCATCATATTTTGTAAACATTTTGTAATATATTAGTTAATTTAAAATTATTAATTTTCTATATTAACTTAAGAATAAAGTTTTTATCTATATTTGAAATTATTTTAATTTGTATTTATATTTCAAAAAATTGATTTCATGAAGACTCACCTTAAATATTCTAAATAAAAATTTAAAATGTTAAATTATTTTTCAAATTCAAGTTATAATATATTTTATGAATGTAAATAGATCTTGAATTTATTTTCTGCAGTATTGAATATTTTTAGTATTTAAATAAAATTCCTACACTAACTGTTTAACAGCCAGGCACTTGTAGTATTCAAGATTGAATTTTTATATTAGTTGATTAGTTTCATCCTGTAGTAATTTTAATTATTATTGAGATTTTATATTATCTTGTTTTTACATTCCTACATAACTCCAATATTAATAGCTTTTTAAAGAATTTGGAAATACAAATATTTATTAATAGACATAAAAAATGCATTGTACATAAGGTGTTTAAAATTTTTACATGTATGAAATATACTAATTACAATATTCTAACAAATACCTGAAAATATTATTTTGCATAATTGGAAAATTTATTTTAGATGGTTAACAAAAATGGATAGAAACATCTGTTTTATTGCATTTCTAATATTACAATAAAATACCTCTAGTTTTGTGATGTCATTTTTCTTAAAAAAAAATTGTTAATTTTTCATTTCTTACACAATCTTTTTATGAAATAGATAAACATGATTATTGTACTAATTGAATGATTTATCCAATTATTAGAATATTATATGACCTTAAGTAAATTCAAAACTACAGCATTATGTGACCATACAGATTTATGTTTTAATAAACTGTATCATTTATACACAACTATTCCTTACCTAGAACGAAATCGATCAATGTCATATGATTTTTTAATTATTTTACATTATAAGGAAATGAGTTTTTAATGGGAATTTTCTTTAAAAAATTAAAAAATGTACATTTCAAATATTATTTATCAAAAGAAAAAAGTGTAAGTCTATAAATGAATATCAATTACATTAAATTAAAATAAAATAAATCAAAATTTTAATTACATGGGCTAAATTAATTTTCCATTTGATCAAAATTATTGAAGGTATATTTATAAATTTAATTAGTAAATAAATATTGAGTAGTTTCTATGAGAAATAAAGTACATTGAAACATCACTTAATAATTTAGTATGAACATGACCATGGGTTCTAAGACTTGCACATTCTCTTAAAAATAATAAATAGTTTATTGATGAAACCAATATGAAAATGATGCTATATGTTTGCATCAATATTTTTTGTAAATTTTCAATAAAAAGATAATAAATAATCAATATTTTAATTAAATATTACTACAAGAAATTATGACCAAAACAATGTTCCAGAAAAAACAGTGAACACAAGAAAATTTTCATCAGTATTAAAAAAATAAATGTTCCATTAAAATTGCCAACAGTAAAAACATCTTCAGCAACATTTGATTACATAACTAATAGGAGTAACATTCTTTTCACAGTTGACTAAACCAGGTAGTAGTAAATTATTTCAAACTCCTACTAATCATCATTAGCGCCACAAAGATAAAGATTCTTTAATCTTCGTGCAAACGCGTAGTATTTTAACTTACGCTCAAAACATAATTACGCAAATATTTATACATAATTTATATATAAATTATAATAATGATTATATGTAGAATTATAAAGAAAATTCACAAGTTATTAATTAACAAATTTTTTATGGTATCTTAAATAGACTAATTGCGCTTGACTGTTTTTTAATGAAAATTAAATAATGAAAATAAGTCAATTAAATAAAGTATTATTTGAATTAAAAAATAACGAAATTTTTTTCACATGAAAATATTTTATGTTTAGAAAAGTTGAATGCTGTAATAAATTCTTGTAAGTAGCAATGGTTTAAATTATTCTAATAAAATTAGTAAATGAAGTATACACATTATAAAACATACAGAAAACTGAAATGACTGACAAAATCTTTCTTTTAATAAATATTTTACATTAACAAAATTTATGCTTCAAGTTTCTACTTATACCTATTGGCCAGTGCAAATATAATGGTTTTCATTATTTCTGTTTCACTGATTATACTGAATAACTGTCTATAGTTTTATTTATAATTAAAATAATATAACAATCTAGTGTATAGGTCTTTCATAATGTTCTTATTTCACTATTTTACATGATTTTAAACAATTATATTACATTAATATATTTGTCTGAAGCATATTATAAATAAGAAATATTTATAAGAAAATTATTGAACGTTTATATAAAAACAAATATTGTGAAAATGAAAACAAAATAGCTTTATAGGAAATAATTCATAAAATTACTAACAAAAATGAAATGAATACTTAAAAAATTGTATTTTAAAAATAAACTTTACCAAAATTTCTATGCAATTAACTTCAAATTATATTACTGATAAAACATAACAAATACTTTGGTTGCTGTATTTAAAATATCAATTTTGAAAATATTATAAGTATAAGTATTTGAAATATAATTGAAAAATTGTAATAAAATTAACATCATACACCATTATCTATTCAAAAATATATAAAAATAAGAATTTTTATATCATAAACTATCATTCAGTATTGAATCAGTAAAACAATGATATTAAATGTTAGGCATATATATTTTCTTAAAATAATTTTAGCAGTATACTTTATCATTGTTTCAATAAAATTATTGTATAATAAATCTTTTATATATAAGTATTAAACAGAAAATTAAGATCTTTATTTATATTTAAATAAAAAAATAGTATCAATTTAATTCATAAAAATTTGATTAATTTAACATAGTTTAAAAAAACTGCATTCAAATAAAATTTTCCTGAAGCGTAATATTTTATCAGTATTTATCATTCATATAAAATATGAACAATCTCGAATTATAGATATCATTACAAAAGTTATTGAATGATTTTATTTTATAATTACTTTATAAACAATTTTTGATAGCTTTAGATATTAATTAAAATTAATAAAAATAGATAATTACTATCCGTTTCTAATAATTTGCTGTTTTCTACCTAAATTTTACAAGTTTCAATGAAGGTAGAAATTTTTGTTTTTGCTAATCTTAAGTTAGCACTAAATAACACATTAAAAAATCAACACCACTCGCACAAAATTATTTATAATACTTATAACTTTACATTATCTTATAAGATATTATTTTGGCTCCGTTTTATTTTGCATTCATGCTGTTGATTTGCATGAGTGATATAATTTCTTGTCAATACATACATGATTTTCATTGTTACACACGCTCGCTGGCATTATTACTACTGCTGCCAATAATGCTCTATAGAGCTTTACTTAAAGTACTAATAAAACTGCAAAACAAATATAATGATAAAGAGGCGAACATCTCTTTATGTTACATTTTCAGTTTCCTATACAAAAATACCTTACAAATTGTCTTAATTTTGTGAAACTAGACTTAACGTAGGTATTATAATATTAAAAAACTATAATAAATATGATATTAATATATTAAGGTCCTTTCCATACTTCACATGAAATTGTTAACTGTACAATAATACATATTAGAATTTATCTTTGTTCAAATATTTATTGTACCAAATTATTATTAAAACAAATTGTACCGATAGTTTATCCAATTGAAAGAGAAATGGATAAAACCGCCTGTTATATAATCAGAAAAATATGCAATGAAAGGACCTTACAATTGGGCTTGAGTTCTGTGGTGTATTATACTTTATAACTTGAAGTTTTGTTTCATACTCTTTACATTATTAAATCCTTGAACCAGTCTTGATACTAATGTACTTTTATTGCATAATCATTTGATAATAATTTATGATGCGCTTGGCCATCAATATAATGCAATTTGTAAAATTTATCCTGATAGTTCTTTTAAATTTTTACTGTCCCTTTGTGTAGCTCTTATCCATGCCGTAAAGTTTATCTTGTGATGGCCAATTTTTTCGTTCTTCTGATAAAATGTATATGCCAATTAAATTACTAAAGGCACACAGGTAGCTTATAAGAGATCAAGATGAGTAATTAAGTTTTAAACCACAAAATTATAGCCACTATAGTTTTATGTTAAATTATCTACTTACACATTATTGATTTGCGGGACTTTGTCACCAAATACAATCTTTTATTGTACAAATGCTAGACATGGATGTCTTTTTGAGAAATATAAGCGTATTTGTATGTGCACATGCAAAACTTGCATGGCGTTTAATAGTCTAATCTAAAATAATAATCAACTAAAAGCACCCATTTGGTAATTAAAATCTACTTTTACCAAAATTTATTGTTCACAAAAAAAACCAATTATTTCAAAAGTAAATAAATTCTTTCAAATAAAATTCATGATTATGCCATTTCTAAACTTAAATTGCATTGAAACTGCAAATTGAAAATTACGATTTGTAAAAATCTTTCCCAGAAAGAAAAAAATGTAAAAAAATTGGCCATCCAAGAATATATTTCCAAGAGGAATAGCCTACTGGCTGTGCCTTATTCCTATAGCTCACTTACTTATTTAAGACACAAGATTATTTGGCTTAAAACTGCCAAGTATTTAACTTTTTTCTTTTCTTTGGCCTGACGAGAGCTTCAACATCGTAATATAACGTTTATGCAAAATACATAACTCTTTTGGTATCTGCATGAACTGTTATTGCTCTTGCCATTGCACCAGGTGTCCTATCTTCACTGCATCCTGATTGATGAGATCCTTCTCCACTATTAAAGTAGTAATTTTAAATAAATAATTTATAATTGACTTTGATGAAAGAATTAAAATCAAATATGTACTGACCTATCATGTTCTTTTTCAACAAGATGATATCTAGCTCGAAAAGCAACCAAATGCGCATAATAAGCTGGTGCTGGTATACTAACAGATCTTGTACACCTTACATATGTATGACATAGCTGGTACGTAAGACACTGCAACTCATCACTTTCAAAGTGATTATCATCCCAAAGTACATGATAATGGGATGGTCTTGATGTTCCCTATAATAGTATTAAGAAAATTTTTTTTTTTCGTTTAACAAAAACAAAGTTAAAACATGTTTAAATAGTTTTACCTGAATTCCTTGATGACTACAAAGGTAAAAATCAAATTCTGTTGGATGTGTAATGCAAACATCAACTGTTGTTCCAGCTGGAATATTTCCACTTTTACCGCTTTGTTCTTTTTTATCCGCACAAAAAAGTCGTGTATGATGACGTTTTTGGACAACAATAAAAGTTATACCAGGTCTATAATCTGCTTCAAGCTTAATGCAAGCTTCACGAATAGCTGTAAGTTCATGTTGAAGGACATGTAAAAACTGACCTTCAGATACGGCATCACGATATAAAATAATTCTGTGTGGTTTATAACCTCCTGTACTCTTGTAAAACATGACAAGAAGTTCTCTATTAAAAAGTAGAGATAATAAATCAATTTTATTCATATATAATAAATATTTATTTATATCAAAATACTTTACCTGACCATAGAACTCAATTCTTGAATTATTTCTTGTCTATGCTGTTGAACTCTTACAGTGGCTGCATATCGAGATGGATGAGCATCCATGCTACCTACAACTGCAGCTATACTAGGTTTTTTATTATCACCAGCAGGAGGATGTGTTACATCAGCACCAAGGAATATGACAGGTTCATTAAAAACTTTTGGCCTAATACTTGGTACTAAAATACTGTTAATTCCACCTAGTTTGACGTTAATTTTCAAACACAAATTTGATAAAGTTTGTGGTGAAGTTTTATTAACATTTTTAGCTTGTACGCATTGAGTTGCCATTCCTAATAAAGTATCTCCAACTCTTTTTACTTCAGCTACATAATTAACAAATAATTTTTTATATGTAACATTGACTTATTTAAATCTAGTTAATATTGTAAATAAAATTTTTACCATATACTGGAGTTTTTCCAGGTAGAACTACACAAACAAGTTGCAAAGCTTGAAAGGTCGATTTTAAATATCTAAACATAGGTTCTACTTGATCAGGTCCAGTAGCATATTTACAGAAACAAGGTTGACCTATAATTGGCATTCCAGCATCATTACTAATTTTTTGGAGCTGCGACGTAAATGCCCGTAATGCATCTTCTCGAACTGTTCGTTGAGGAGCAAAACATGCTATAGCCCATACTCGTATTTCAACTCCTGTAAAAAATTGTTTTCCACGCATGTCCCAAACACCTTGATTAGGCAGTGCTTGTTGTTTTGTCTTTAAAGAAAAACGAATAATTTTTTATTGAATTAAAAACTTATGTAAAATAATAACATGAAATAATATTATGAAGTTTTTACGTGTATAAATATAAATAACAAGATTTTAAATCTTTTCATTAGTAATTTAGCAACAATTAATAATAAATATTTAAATATATAAATAATAAAACATCTACACTTTTCATAATTTTATATAATTAAAAAATCATTAGATCCCCAATTTATTTAAGATACATACGTAAGGTGTAACAATTGTTTATATGGAACGATAAGTTTTTCACCTGCCCAGTGATGGAACTAACGCGCCCTCCATATTGCAGTTTTGGTGGGGGCAAAATTCGTCCTCTAACTTCCATCATATTATTAGAAATAGTAAGGCCAAATTCTTGAACATATGAATCATTATTGAAATCTGCTCGCCGTACAAGATTATTTATTTCTCTTTCACGATCAGGAGCTGAACGAGCTGTAGCCTTTATCATTGTTGATGTTTGCATATCTGTTAATTTTTTTATACATCGTTGCCCAGCTACAATATTACAAACCTATAAAACATGAAGTATTTAATAAATTTTGCAATAAAGATGGAAGATTAATAAAAGATACATAGAATCAAATATATACAATTTAAATAAAAATAAATGTAATATACCTCTAAAGGTAAATATGTATGTTTATGTTCTTGACCAACTTGAAGGCACGGAAGATGTGGATAACGTAATTTCATTTTGTATTTATCTAAAAAGTATTTAGAAACTGTACATTCAACAGTTTGTCCATTTTCTAATTGTAAGGGAAATCTGTAAAGTAAATTATTTTTTTAAGAAGAAAATAATTCATTAACATTAAAAAATATTAAAATATAATATATACTTACGATTGCATTTGAGCTGGTTTACGAGTAACATTGCAAACTCTGTATTTTCTTCTCATTGTACCACAATGTGTAATTTCAATTTTAAGTCCTTTAATTTCCTTGGTAAATTTTACTCTTTGTGAATCAGTTAATGGTTTTCTTTGTTCATTTATGTCACGTATATCAAGAACTTCACACATAAACTCTATTACTGGTTGTGCTTTATAGAAAGCAGTAGCAGATACTATAGAAATAAATAAATTATATTAGTATTTCATTTAAGAAATCATATGTAATCAAATAAACATTGTAATAAACAAGTTTACCATCAATATTCAGCATCATTTTCCATTGGGATGGTCTTACAGATTGATGGAAACCAAACCATACTTCTCTACCACCACCTAGTGGATGATAATAGCCATCTGGACTACTAAAAAACGATCTTCCAACAGGTGTGTAAGTCATAGAAGGAAGATGTCTCATAACTACATCCAAAGCAAGAATTGCATCATAAGGAATCTGCCTAGTTCTTCCCTCTAAAGCTTCTTCAAGAGCAAATAAAGAAACTTGTGCTACCCATTTGATTACCACTCTGAATACTCTATCTTTACCTTCTCCAGGCAGTATTACCTATAGATAAATAATTAGAAACTTACTCATTATTTAAATAGTTTACTATTTACTAAATTTACTAAATTTACTAAAAAACATTTTAAATATATATGCACTATATTTACCTCTAACTCTAATTTGTCAGTACCAATTGGTAAAGGGTCCCGAGTATATAAATTATTTCTACCATCAAACACAGGTTTTAGAGTTCCAAATATTTTACTGTAAGCATGTACCATAGTTTCAATTATTTCTCTATTAACTTTCCGTGGACATTTATCAGGTTGAATGTTTATGTCATAATGATGAACAAAACCACGTGGCATAGTAATTTGAAAATGATTGGCCCTCAAACCAATTACTCGTCCTTCTCGACCAATATTTGGCCTTCGTGGACATGCAAACACTAATAAAAATCACATTGATTAATTATTATTTTAGTATTTTAACATAAAAAAACTTACTAGGTAGATCAGGAGGCTGAGGAGGAGTATGTGTTTGCTGCGTAGGAACCAAGCCCAGTGTACTGGGAGCTACAACACTACTTCCAGTGCTTCCAGCAGCCCCTACAGCAGTGCTTGTTGTGGGCCCTGATGGAGGGGCTATAAACATAAAGGTTGGAATTATAAGAAAAGTAGAATAACATAACTGGTGACAGGCTAGGTATGACAACACATGGACACTTGATATTTTATACTGGAGTAGTGCAGTTAATAGTGTATATACAAAACCATCAGTATTACACTGTATACTCATTATTAATGTGAGTTCGTTTATTTGTAATCTATACCCTTAAAAGTCCTTTCACAACACATGCGCCAGGTGAGCGACAAGTTCATTCGGGGTCATTCTGGGCAGCTTATAAACGATAGAAGACAAGCAAGCATACGAAAGAGCAAGAAGGACAAAGTAAGTTTGAGTAAGCAAGCGAATGAGTGAGAGAGAAGGAGAGAACGCATGAACGAGCGCGTCATCAAGAAAGAGTGCAGAGCGTCTATGCTCCGTCTTTATATTGAAGAACTGAGATAAAGGGTTTTGTTAGTTAAATAATGATCCTACGAAATTAAGATGTAAGCAGTAACTGCGCACTTTCTTGGCCTCACTTAATTCACATGTACAATCATCTCATACGCTCTCTTTTGCTTCAGTCATTAGCTCACAAATATAATACTCACGCGGTGCTACAGGATACATAGTCAGTGAATATGATGGCTCTGTAGCCGCTGCCCACTATTAAATAAAAACTTGAATCAAAAGAATGAGGACCCACTTCTCGCACAGCGTAATTTCGCACAACACACTCTTAAATTACCCTGTCTCTAAACACCGAGGGATAGAAATACAAGCTACTGCTGCCTGCACTCTGCAGGTGCTCCATGCACTACTACCAACCTTCAATCCTTCAAGTTATAAACATTTTGAACGCTCGAGTATTCACGTGTTTCATTGGTCAACTCGCCTGCGTTCTTGTAAGCATTGCTAGGAAAAGTATATGTCACTATTTTACTACTATCTTACACTGCTTATGAGTACGACGCTTTTGGAATTAATAGTTTATAAGCTAACTCTTCAAACTTTTAATTATGTGTTATATATTTTATTCTTGCATATGTACAGATTGTTGAACACCTTAGTAATTGTTTATTTATTATAAGATAATTGAAAAGTTACCCTGCATTTCAGCTCCTTAACGAGTGTTTTTATTTTTTTTAATAAATGATTTACATACACATATATAATTCAGGAATATAAAATTTCTATACATTGGAGTGTAATTAAATATTTATAATATTTCATTTATTGCTTTTTAAACTTACTTAATATTTTATAATTTATATTAAATTTTAATATTATATTTTATTAATATTTAATCCGGTTTCAATCCATAAAATTTTATATTAAGGCGCTTGAAAAAAGCATTTTAAAATATCGTTAAATATTAAATAAAAATGAGATAATTTAATAAATATAAATTAAATAAAAATGTATAAATATTTGTTTTAATACAAAAAGTGTGTATTAATATATTTCAATTAAAATAAATACTGTATGATTTAATTATAAGTAACTGAACTTTATATGTAATTTTTACATTTATAGTTAGTGTGTGCTACACCATAAACTTAAGAAAGTAAATAGCAACGTTGGAAGGAAGAACAAAGGTGAGGATGTGAGATTCAAATAGAATCATGGCAACGTCGCAAAAACTTATATCTTGCAGTTATACCTCACTTATCGACAGTGTTACTCTGTTATGCATTATTGTTTAGAAGTTCGAACTAGCAGTTCAGTTGCTCTCTTCACATGATAATTTTTGGTAACTAGACATTACAATATAATATAAAACTTCGAACATAATAATAAAAATGAACTTTATAATGACACATTATTAATTTAGTATATTATATACGCTCTACTACTTCTTGAATAAAAGTATTGCAATTATTAGAAAAATATGTTGAATATATAACTATTAAATAAAATGACATGCGGATTAATAAATAATACTGCTTTCTAGTTCATAGAAGCTGTTAAAAATGTCTATATCATTTAGTGGATGTCGGTCTAAAAGTGGTGGATTGATCGGCGCTCTTTCAAAACAAATCAAACTTATTAAGCTAGGACCATTAAAAAATATCACCGTTCGTTTTGATCCTTTCCATAAGAAGGTTATGGAAACGAGGTTAGTTCTTTTCCAAAATATATAAATTTAATTAGAATCATTGAGAAGAGATGTCAATAAAATAGTAAATAAATAGTAATATATGAATAACCAATAATATGAAACATTATGTCTCGTGTTAATTTTATTAATAAATTAAGTAACTAAGCATTTGATAATGTTGAATTATCAAAAAAGTTACATGAATATAAAATATTTGCGAACAATTTAAGTTTCAAATGGTTTGTTATGATAAGTTATAATAAAATATACTAAAAAATACTAGATTATTAAATTTGTCGACTAGAATCATAAATCGGTTTACATTTGTGACGTCAATAATATGCGCATGCGTATTGAATACAACTAAATACGACTGCTCCGCTTTTTGTCTTTTATTAGTGAGAACCTCCGAGCTTAGTATCATTAGCAATTTAGTTATATTAGTCGTGTATAAACCAAATACTTTTGACCAAGAAGTTTTTTCACTGAATCAAAGCATGAATTCTAAAACTAATGATGAATAGGTTCGATTTTTGGAGGAGTCAAAGAGGACAAAATTTCGATCAGAGTTCATACCAGGTATACTTCTAAAATAACTCATAAGCGTGTAGATTCATTGGCTCAGCCTATTTCTTTCCTAATAAATCTTCATTGCCTCAACGCTTCAATACAGGCATCTATAGTTCTATTCAAAAGGAAAACTTCAGAGCAGTACATTTATGCTTTTATTTAACCACTATATTATACTAATATGCTGACTGAACAAAAATTTTTAAAAGTAAATATTTAGAATAAACTATATTTTTATGCATTAAAATTATTATCTTCAAATAACTTATTACCGATCCGTAATTAGTTTTGTTAATTTTGATTATACATACTACTTTAATTATTTATTTAAACTTAATATAATAAAAAAAATTAATAACAAATAATTTATATTTCTAAAATCGTAATGAATTGTTAATCGTTATATCTATTGTATTTATAAAATTTTATATACATAAAATCTGCTTTATAATATTAAAATAATTTTTTAATGTTAAATACTTACAAAAATTATTTGATATTCTTATTATTACGTAAAAAGTAAATAAATTATTCTAAATTGTTATTTGATAAATAATGCAATATTAGAATTATTAGTAAAAATAGTTGTTATAAAGTTTTAATTTTTAATTTATTTACAATATTAAAAATCAATTGAATACAAGATTTATACCTCAAATTAATTGACAATAGAATATGTTATATACTAAATAATAATTCAATTTATTTTTATTTAAAATATCATTATCGATGAAAATAATTTACATTATCCCTATAACATATAAAAAACATAAAAAAGGAAAATGATTTTAATACAATTATGTTTTAAGGGAAATAAACATTTGTTCAGCATATAATTGTATGTGAATTTCACAAAGTATTCGAAATTAATCAAAAATGAAAAAAAAAGTCTTTATATACAAACTATGTTTTAAGTGAAATTTAATTACACTATATTTACTCAAACGTTATTATAATTAACTAAAATATTACTAAATTTGAATCTATAGTACTCATATTATTTTAATATTTTTATAATACGAAATACGTATGATTGTATTTTACATTATTTTGAAGATGAATTTTTGGGGTAATACTCTATTTTAAATGTTATAAAAGTATTAAATGAAGAACACAATTAAAGTGCTTTTATATTTATACAGTGAGATATATAATATAATATATTTATTGTTAATGATTTTTACTTAATTTTTGGAATATGTCAGTCATAGATTTCATATTTTTCAAAAATAATAAAGAATAATATATAAAAACAAACAATAAGTATTACTTACCTGTGCATTGGCCACAACCGTATGCTTTACCAAGCATAGATACTGCTGTAGTTATGCGTAGCGTACTTAAATCCGGTACTGGAATTGGTAATTGTTGTTCCATTTGAGCCATGATTACTGAAAAAATCATTTATAATATAATATTTTAGATATTATTGAAACAGTACAATTCATTATACTTCCTTTAAAAAATATTTAAAAATTTTTTTTTTTAAACTAATTTTATTATGCGATTTCATAAAAATCCAATAAATATATAACAAGGAAAATGTAATATTTTGAAAGCTTTAATATATAATTAATTATACTCGCAATATTTTTATTTTTCAATAGTTTTTAAATTATATGTTTTAAATAAAACAGAATTAATACTCAATTTTATGATCTTTTCAGAGATTTCCTATATTATTTATCATCACCGAAAGTTTTATCTACTAATCCATCGTGTTTTCTTAAAACGGAAATTGTGTGCGATCGTTCAGATCCAGTAGTTGTATGTAATTTTGGTGAGTTTATTAGTATATAAATAGTAGAAAAATAAAAATACTATTACATAAAAAGATATATAATTATTAAACGTATTTCGTAAAAAAATTAGTCTTTATTTAAATTTAAATAAATTCTAAAGATTTTTTTCAGAAATTTCTATCTATTATTATGATGGATTATATTTAGTCAATTAAAATATTGAGTATTTTAAGAACATTCATTAACAAAATAAAAAATAGAATTTCAAATAAATTTAGTAGTTATCTCGTAGAATATTTTTCTTTATATTAATTTCTTGTAATTACAATATTACAAAGTATTTTTAAGGAGCTTTATATTTAAATACTATTGCGTATAATATAGTTATTTCATTTGTCACACTGATTGAATTTTCGTAGTATTATATTTAAAAAATTATAATACATGAATATAATAAATTTTTCCAACTATCTTAAAATAATTACAGAAATATTATATACTTCATACAAAATTTTTAAAAGTAATATACCGTTTTTTGTAAATAATTTATAAAAAAATTATGTAATAGTTTAAACCGTTTCAATATTTAACAGTCTTGTATCATTTATCACTTATTTCGATTTGCTTATTAATAACGTAATTTGAAAAATATTAGATTATATTAAAATTCTATGATTATTATATTTACACATGTGCATATTCACGTAGGTGCATAAGTAAATACAGTTTTATTTTAGTTTGTAAATATTTAAAAAAGTAACTTTGAGTTCTGCATATAAACTTTTATGAAATAAATAATAAATACAAGAAAAATTGTAAAACATTATATTTAAAAAAAATGTAATTTAAATTTATTGAAATTGTATTACTATGGGTTGAATTTAAATTTAATCTAATCCTGTTTTAATTATGAATTACAACATTTAATCTGATAAATCTATATATTACATTTATATAATTACTAAATTAAATATGAATTTTATAAAATAGTTTATTTGTATTATTTATTTTACTTTGTTACAGGAAATGAAGAAAAATTAATCCTTAAATCTACTAATTTAACAGCTCTTGAACTTTTAACTCTTTTTAACAAATACGTTAGTACTCGCGATTTAACCGAGCAAGCACCAATAATTATTAAAAAAAGAGGAAAAAAGAATTTAAAATAAATGAATTTTTAAAATTGGAATACTAAAAATAGATTGATTAAATTATCGTCAATTACATAACTCTTTGAACAATATGTGGTAAAATAAAAATTTACAAAATATGACACTGTTTACATTAAATGCCCGCAATACTTATGAATGTTGAAATTATCTGTTTTTTTTAATACTCGTATTTATTTACCAGAAAAAATTATTGTAAAGTTTTAAATAAATTATATTTTAAGTAAAGTGAGTATACTTAGGTGTTAAAAAACTTTAAACTTTTAATTGAAAAAAAACAGCCACTGATTTCTACCTTCATTTTACATTGCTATAAATAAGAATTTTAAAGATCTTTTCAAAATGTCAGGATACATGAGTCCAGAAAAAGGCTATAGCATGAAATTAATTGATACACTTTATAGTCATGTTCCAGCATTTACGGATGTCTTTGATGAGGAAACCTGGTACATATTTGTTACTTGTTTTGTAGTTATCACTATCTTAGTCGTTTTTATACTTTCTAGATTTATAACTATCAAGCCAATAGATTGAGTGTTATAAAATCCTGAATGTATTCATTTTCAAAATATAACATATATAATATGCATAAATATTTTACAACAAAATTTAATGTAGTTACTACATAAATATAGTGTTTGTAGAGAAGTCTTAAAATGTAATTCCAAATGTCATAACATCTACTTTAATTCTATATATTATTAGTAAAAATATAAATAAACTTACATAATGTATCTATTTTTAATGATTTTAGATTGAATTCTTTCCATATCCAGAACCTACATGAATATATCTTAAAAATTTAAGTTTATCTATTTATAGATTTTAATGCTTTCTTCTCTAACTTAAACTTCTTTCTGGTTATTTTTGGTATACTTTTTCATGTATAACTTAAGAATATATATATATATATATATATATATATATATATATATATATATATATATGTATCTTATTATTCTTCCCTATCTCTGCTATAAGCAAACAATTACACACTATAAACTTACCTTTTACTTTTTTGTTGAGTAATACTGAAAACAATGTCAAACTTTATCAGAAAATCCAATCACTTTGTATGCTGTCCTTGTTTAACACCTTTTAGTTGTGAGAGTTAATTTACCGCAAGTATGTGATTATTTTATATTCACATATGTAATACAATTTTTGCAAAAATTGCACTAATTTATATTTGAACAAGAATTATTGTTATCATTATACTGCATAATTGTGATTATTTTACTGAAAAATAAAATAGAAGTTGCTTTTTTACCTGTATTAATAAATAAATTTTAAAAATTATGTAAAAATTTATAATAATTATGGTACACACAAGTGCACATAAACATGTATTTATATTTAAGTTATTTTGTATTTATGTTATGGTTATAATATATATAATTAATTTTTTTAATTGAATTGTAATTATCATTCTATGGTTTAAGTTTTAAATCTCAAAATTATATTAAAATATTTTAAATTCCCCTCATATTTTATTTCATTTACTAATATAATGGTTGTTGAAAATATTAATGATAAAATTTAAAATTGTATTTGTCACTATTTAAATATAAAATAATATTTTATTAGAATTAATTATGATTATATTTTAAAACTTGCTTTAAAGAATCATCATTGTAATAATTTACATTTTTTACCAATTAAAAAAAATTATTTTAATAAAAAAATTGCCAATTTAATTTAGAATATTACATAAATAAATTAATATGTCATGATAAAAGCTGTTTGGATAAATGTATTAAGTTGCGTATAAAAATGAATACAATTTTTTTTATAAAATTCAAAAACAATTTATAAATAAATGCTTTGGGTAGAAAAGCTAGTATAAAACGTTAAGCAAAGAAAAAGGTTAATCTATTTGCATATAGAAGATATGAACGCGTCTACCATATACCATTAATTTATTATAAAAATACAAATTTCTGAGTATTTTTTCCTGTGCATTAAGCGTGTATAAAAAAAAAACTATAAATGGTTAGCATAGTGTTAAGATTAATGCCGTTATATCTATAAAAGAATCTCCGTGCATTATTTGTCTCTTTTTTTTATTTGCTTCTTTGTCTCTTTATGTATGTTGTGCTTGCATTTGCGCACGTAAGCATGCACACTTTGTCTCATTGATTCCTAAAAATGTTGCTTCATTAGCTAGTGAGCGCGCGCGCGCGCGTATGTGTGTGTGCGCGAGCGTGCGTCTTGTATATTCGTATGCGCTTACATGCATTAAGTATATATTTTGTTAAAAATTTTAATAAAAAAAATTAGAAATAGGATTTCGATTTTATAACGTTATGTTCCTTTATATGTACATACAATATCTCTTTTTCTCTTTTACACAACCGGTATAGAACCGCTTGTCTCACCCTGTACACTGCTGAAGCATTCAATTATTCCTTAAATATCTCCATTCTTGTTTGTTTTCGATCGCTCTTGCTTTTAATCACAGTCACAATAAAATGAACTCACGCAGCTGCCATATACGTAACTTTATTTTTTAATATACTCCACTTTTTAGGTAACTAGGGTTACTCTCGTGGATCCCAAATTGTTTTACTATATTTCATCATGGAACGCAAGTAGTTTCCAAAAGAAATAATTACTCTGAATTAAATGAAAACGAACTCTTAGTTTAAAAACTGAAACGATTCAATGATGAAACTAGACGCGCAGTCTCAACGCACTCTGAGCTGCAATTTGTTCTCCGTAGTAAATTGAGCGTATGTCGCGAACTCAAATACTGATCACTTTAGCACTGACTTTTTCTGATAGTATATACGATCTCAAACTTTAAGAACTGCAACGTTTCAACTAGTCACGTATTACAAAAAACTTTCAACCTAATCATATTATAGAATATCTTAAATAATGATACAAATCTCGATTTATAAGCTCAAATTGTTGTAGTTCAATAAGTTTCCAAGGTCGTACTGTACCACAATTCTAAGGCAGTCAAAAGAGAAACAGAACACCGAAAGAAGGGTGAAGAAAGAAGGCTCTCACTTCTCCCACTTGCACTACTCTTTATACTGTGTATATTTTCACGAGATGTGCGCATGCTCTGTGCACAGGAATCCTGTTTAAAAAAAGGAAGAAATGATACCGTTTACGTCATATAATCTGTGATCACATTTTATTTCGGGTACACGTACTTACATAGATATGTTTATTTTGACTGCTTATTGTATATGATAATGTTTCAAAACCACTTCCGTACCTCATTATTTTCTCGAAATTTTGTCCTTTTAAATTATTATAAATTAATAATCCATTAATTTCTTTGTTAAAATAATTGTTAATGTAACACTTCCATTAAATAAATATTAATTTTGTATATTATAATAAAAATAATTCATATATTTTGTATTAATCGCATTTTTATGTTTATTACAAAAATTAAACAAAAATACTTGTTTCTAGTTTGTTTTTACGTCCTCTCTTTTTCTTACTCTTATATTTAGACATTTTTGGTTTGATTTATAGTAGGACCATTTCAAATGACACGGTTTAGAATTTATTTCTAATTTTTAAAATGTTTAATTATGCACTTTAGTAAAAAATCATAATTAATAAAATCGTTACTTTTCTTTAAAATATTATAGTAATTAACAATTTGCGATGATAAATCTATTTACATTTAAATATATTTTTAATAAACTTATTTTCTTTGAATTAAAAAATCTGAAGACGTAACTGCGTGTCGCTTTAATTTTGCTTACGAATGGCGGCGTAATCAACGAAGTTAATATTACAGGTATATTAGAGTTTCAAATATCATGTTATATGATAGTACAAGCAGTGAACTACTCACATTACTATATGTATAATTATACAGGCGCACGCGCATGCACATTTAACTATGGTACCAACATTTAATACATTTACCTATGGTATTTTAGTGATTTCTAATTTTTACGTACTGATAACATAATAAATCATCTAAACAGTTTGTTCTTTCATTGAATTCGAATACACCCATGTAGTTAAATAAAATATTGCTAAGAAATACTATATTACATTATTTATATAGTTGAACCTGATTCATAAAAAAGAACAATGTAAAAGTATTAAAAACAAATTCCATAGAAATATGATAATTTTAATAGAAATACATTAATATTATTTAAATTATTTTTATGAAATTTTTTATTAGTAAATAAAGATATAATTAAAAAAACCATAAAAAAAATAAGCACAAAGTGAAAGATAATTTTTATAAAGACTATTATTATATTTTAAAATGTCAACTATAATTAATATATCATCTAAACATTCAAATAAATATCAAATTTTCTGTCAGTATGGTATTTATTAATTTACAAAAAATAATTAGATCCTTTTTTAAATATAATGACAAATAGTTAAATTCATATACTTACATATTACTTGCTATTTTTAACTGATAAAACCAGACGTTAAATGTAACATCAAATATTTGAAGTTTTGTAATTAATTTAATATTGTTAGAATACTTCATGAAGAAAAACAGCGATACTGTATAATTATTTAATTTTTTTATTAAATGCTTTATTTTCTGTATTATTCAAAAAAATTTAAGGATAAATTATTGTCTTTTATCACTGTATTTATTTGTTTTAAAAAATTATTTATAAAATTTATAATATGTGTATGTGTTTAATATTTTAGATTCATTTATCTTTTTTTTTATTTAAAATTTAACATGAAGTCAGTGTTACTTAAAAGATCAAATATATAATTATATTATTTCCGTATGTCCTAAATTTTTTTTTTAATTTTATTGATCATAAAATAGCAATATAATTTTATTAATTTATAAAATTGCAGAGTACACGTAAATTTTTAAACTAATTTCAATAGTTATATAAATAATCTACTGGAATCAAATAAAATTCAATTTTCTATTTATTTTTATTTATAAAAGCTATTTATATAAAAATAAAAAATTTTAAGATATTTAATAGTTCCAGTGTTTAAATGCGTTTATTATTTTTATAATAATTTAGTAACATTAATGTTAAGTTGAATTACACGGTAGGATTCCTGTAAAAAATGTATAAAATTTATTTTTAGGAAGCCAGTTCGCGTTCAAAAGAGTGAAGGCAATATAAAAGTAATTTTTTAAATCATATTGTATAAATTAAATAAAATCGTAAATATCATTCTTTTGACAAAATACTTCGAAATTCACTGCATTAATTAAAGGAATATTATAAAGGTTTTAAAAATATATTTAAAATTTGGAAACGATTATTTAAATTCAATCTTTAATTTAATCGATGTATTAACTGAAAGAAGGAACATTATATTTTGAATCGATTTTATTGCTTAATTATTTCAAAATACAATTGTTATTATTAAAGTAACTTCAATCAAATTTATTTACATAATAATTTTTTAGTGTTGAAGAGAAATATATCACTGAACAATCAATTAATAATTTTCTTAAAATTATTTATTACGAAGCCCATTTGATAAATCTATAATTATTCATTAAACGAGTCTTCTATAATTTATAAATTTTAAATTAATTTAGTAATTTTTTACGACGTTTAGAATGTGATAGGTCTTTAGATTTATAGAAACTTGAAACATTATAAACATCTTTAATTAGTATTCTTATTAATTTATGAATTGTTCTCTGAAAAAGAATGATTTCCCACAAATATATTTCTTCAGTTTTATTAATGATTTTTAGATATAAATAGCATTAAAAAAAACAGTAGTATCTTGTTATATTCTCATTATTAAACATTTGTTAAACAAAATTCTTTTTACATTGCTTATACCTAAAATTCATGATAAATAATGAAAAGAAATCTATAATTATAATTATTTTGTTAGATGTAATTAGTTAATTCTTCATGCTTTGAAATGTTATTAATATCTGAGTTACCATAATATAATGTTATAAAAGTAAAAATTTTTACTAAATACTTAAATAATACAGTATTTATTAAAATATATTATTTTTAAATAACTATATTTATTATTAAAAATGTTACAATAAGATTTAATATTATTCTGTATTTAAATAAATTTATTAGTCTTCTGATTCTAAAATAGAATTTCAATAATTGTTATAACTAAAATTTAAGATATAATAAATTATAGAATCTTTTACATAGTTATTACAAATATAAAATATACATTTCCTTTGTGTTGCTATATAAAATTTAGATAAAATATTAAGAATAGTATGTAAAATTTTTTGTTGTTTAAAGTTTTTAAATGTGCCATTTTATATAAAGTATAGCATATAAAATTATATTTTATACAATTATTAATTTTGAAATGACTTACACATCTTTATTTTATTTTATTACAAAATTCAGATTCCTAATTGTTTTAGTATGTCTTTTTTTAATTTGTTTATATAAGCTTTTTAAATTTTGTTAAAATTATTTTCATACTTACATAATTCAGTAGTTATTTCAATTTATCTCAATAAGAAAATATTTAAATAAACTTTATTTTATCTCCAATAAGATAAAATAAATGACATATAGTTTATGGATTTTCCTTTTAATTTTATTAATATAACAGAGATAAATTGTATAGTTAGCAGTAAAATTTATAATAAAAGCGATTATTGTTTAACACTTCTTTTAATATTTATAAAAATTTGACAATTTTAAAATCAATAGGAGGTTAAAAAAAGAAAGTTTGTTTTTAAAATGTATTTATTAATGAAAAATTAATTTTAATAAATGAGATAAATTTCATTTTTATATATAAGTGGATGTTCAAAGGCGCGAGTCTCAATCAAGTGCCATACCCTCGTCGTCGTCGTCCTTCTTATTAGGTTGTTGCTGTGTTTTGGTTTGTTCGGCGTTCTTCGCTTCATTGGGTGTAGTCGCAGATGTGTCGTTACTAACCTCGCTCGTATTTGCAGCTGGATGATTATTAGCCTCTGTTTCGAGAGCACTGACAAAGTCCTGGATGTTACCGCTGGAAGCGGCGTTAACTGCATCAGCCCCCAAACCGAATTGTTGGACAACCGGGGCCGCCTGGCCCGACTGCAAAGCAGACCAGAACATTGATAGCGCCTGCGAGAACTGGGGGGACGAGAGCGTAGTAGAGAGGCTGTCCCCAGGTGGCAAATGAATGCCTACCGCATCTTTTAGACTCTCGATTGCGGAGATCGCTGCTGGGATGGCTGCGCTCAGTTCACTCGCTACGCCCCTCTGCCAGACAAGAAGCTATGATGTAGCTCGTCGAGAACAACAATAATAAAACTTGTCGCGTTGGTCATTCCTGCCACCCCAGCCGCGAGATAGAGCCACAGCCCTTCTCCTTCTACTATTTACCAATCCATGTTTATATTATAAGAATTGCTATTTGCCTCATGCTTCAACGGCTTATCTTATAAATTATCTTACTGTTTTCTTTTCATATAAATATAAATTAATTTTACAACCTGAAAAACAAGTTATCAACTTGCTAACCAAAGCTTTATTTATTGAAATGTCTTCTTTACAGATATTTGACCCTCTGTACAAATATCTGATATCTGTTGATACTTTTTATATATGTTTATAATATATTAACTGAATAAATGAAAACATTAACTTTTATTTTTAATATTAAGATTTTAATAATATTAAAATCAGATCATTTAAAGGGTTAATAAATAAATTTTTCGTTTTACTTGATAATTAAAGCATAAAAATACACTCCAAAGATTCCAAAATATTATTAAAAGTATTATTAAGAAAAAAAAAAAATATATATATATATATATATATATGTGAAAATACAACTCTGAAAGTTAATACATTGAAAGAAAATTTTTAATTATGAGCATGAACTCACTGTTTTCAAAATTTAATTTTGTAGTGTGAATGTTGCAAAAATTTAGTGGCATTCTAATTTAATTAAAATATTGTTATATATATTATTATAAACTATCTTAAATGGCCAAACAAATTGGTAAAAATGCAATATTAAAGTTAATTTAATAATTTCAACTTTTTCTAATTTTTTTTCTTTTTTTTTTTTAAATTATTACACATTTTTGTAGACTTTATATTTTAGATAAATATAATTCTATATCAATGTAAGTATTTTTTAGACTATAACTTTAATAATATTTTTAATTAAATTTTTAAACTTTGTGCATATATTCTTGAATATTTTATTTATGTAAAAAGCAGAAAATACATTTTTTCATTCGTTATAATTTTTTTTTCAATTTATGTTAAACTCTATTTAACTTGTATCATCATAGGATATTTTAATATTTAAATATTCAATATTTAAATTAAGCTAAATAATAATGATCCCGTTAATTTTTGAAGAGCTATTTACATTGAGTGAAACTTTGTTTTATCGATTAAAACGAATTATTAAATTAAATTACCTGAACTGCCGGTTCCGTTCCAGGTGGTGTTGGAATTCCAGACAAAAAATTTTGCAAATCACTGAGGCGTATTCGATTATTTTCAGCTACTGAAGGTGCTGATGGCTCTGTTGTTTTTCCAAGTTGAGAAGATTTAGTGCCTTTAGAATCTAATTAATAAAAATTTTAAATAAGAACATATAAAAGATGAAATGAAGATTAACTAAATTCATCAATCATTATTAATTACCAACTGGTTTAGTGGATGATTCTGAAACTGTTGTAGTAGGACCAGGAGTAAGGGATGCAGGTGGTCTAGAAGCTGTAGTTGTAACTGGAGTTAATGAAGATGTTGTGGAAATTCTACTTCCGCTAAAAGGTCGATTCATAGTTCCTAACAAACTACCAAGCCCTCCAATTTGTCCTACACCTCCAAATAGTTGCATTAATTGTTGCTGGGACATATTATTTAATAAATTTTGCAAGTCCCCTTCTGGATTAGCACCACTACTTCTTTGTGAGCCAAGAGTAGGAGGATTATTGAGAACTTCATTAATTTTTCTACAATGTTCATCATCCTTGTCTGTTTTGAGATCCTAAAAATTTTTATTTTAATAAATATATATTATAGTTTATTAAAATATAACAAAACAATAATAATTTAAAATAATCTGTAAGGTAATTTTTCACCTTAATTATTGTTTTATAAATTACAACAAGATAAAAATAACACTTATCTGTTATGTATTAAAATATAATACTGTAATAAATATCTAAAAAAAATTAAACTAGAAAGATTTTTAATATATATATATGTATTTTTTTATTTATTTATTTATTTAATATAATTGATTTTACTTTTTTTAATTAAATAAGACAAATACAATTTTCATAAAATATTATTTGAATAATTAAAACAAATTATCAATATTTTTATATTTTATCAATTTTCTTATAGGAAAAGTCATTAATGTAAAATTTATATTTATTTATTACAATTTGAATCAGATTTCATATAAATTTTATAAATAAAATTTTTCATTTATTTACTTTTGAACATAAACTCATGAATTATAATTAAATTTGTTATTATTGATCAATAATTTTGGCTGTAAATTAATAAAATTAATATTACCTGTAACCAAAAGAAAAATTTTCGATTGGATGACTTAAATTTTAGAAGGTAAACTCTTCCAGTTTTACAATATGACACATATTTAAATTCGCAATCATCCGGAAATATAATTAAATCCTGAAAATCAAAATAATGAATAAGTAATAATTACTGGTTACAATCATATACGTAATATTAAACACTATAAATTATTATAAAAATATAATGCAAATTCATAATTCAATTTTATAAAAAAAAAACTTATGCATATCTCAATATTTATACATCTTCTACAACACCAGTAGTGCGATCTTTCCAACAAAGATGCATCAAAGAATCATCTGCCTGATAAACGTATAGTTGACCCTTTCTACTATCTGGATAAACCGTTTTGCCTTTCATTGTCATTTTTCCTGCTTTAAACTCTACGAGATTTTTATTTGCACCTCGAGCAGTATTATTTCCAAATAATGCTCCACTAGACATTTTTTATTTATTATTAATCAGATATTTACGAAATGTATATATGTATATATATAATTTTATATGACACTTTCACTCTTGATGTTTTCTAATATTAAATTTCTCGTTACCAATACTATTCATTTATTAAAGCCATGAAATTAATCTACATTTGGAATAGCGATTTAGAGAAATTCAATATAAACACAATTGTGTTGGGTGCTGCCATCGAATAGTAGTTATAGGAACTATCAACCTTACCGCTTTTTTTAAATATATCGAATAAACTTCTTTACAATAAGTACTTCACGATACTAATAATAATTTTGTAAAATATTACTATAAATATATAAACAAAGAATGAAAAAGATTTAATATAAAATCAAATTAATATAAAAATTACCATAATATTGAATATGTTATCACACAGGACAAAAATTAATTAATATGAATTACCATATGTGATCAGTATATAAATAGTATATTATTATTAAAATTATGATGACTGCTTACTATTTTACCACTTTGAATTTAATATCAAATCTAATATTAATTACATAGAACAGATAAAGAAATTTAAAAAAAAGTTAAATTATAAAATTAAAAAGAATACTACGGTTAATTGTAAACATAATACGCATATAAAATTTTATCTATATAATTATATAGTGTAATTAATCATTAAAAATGTATCTAAGTACTAAAACCTATCGTATTTATTGTTATATGAAGTATAATTATATGAATATTTTTCAAAAATATCTGTCTAACTCTCATTTTTCCATAAATGAAAAGTTTAAAGAATGATGTATAACTTCTGACATGCATCTTGAATTATAACTTAATACTGATGTTATTCATACTCAGGGTTAGTGTAAATGAAATTCCTATTCACTCACATATTTTTAGATTAACTTAAGGGAAAACTTTTAAGATTGTTCCAATAAATCCTGATAAATCAAAAAGGATTTACGAATACAAGTTAGGAAAAGATATACTTAAGATCAAAATGCAACACTAACTAATAGTTTATATAATTTTATATATTATACATTTTCTATATAATGTAAAACAAATAAAAATTAATCATGAAAGTTAAAAATTATTTAACTAATATTTCTAGAATTTCTAATATTTGCTGATAGAAATTAATATTGTAATAATTATACTAAGTAAGGACTATCAGTAAGGATTCCATTGTTTTTCACTTTTATGTAATTCAATTCAGTGCACGATTTTTCTAATAGAATTCGTAAGTATAAATATTTGCTTTATAATACAATAGGTATAATGATAATTTTAAATAACGTTTAATTGTACTCTTTTTTTATAATTTTTAATTTACTATAAAAAATTGAAATATTACAATTTATTATAATGCTTTAAAAATATTTTTTGAAGGATTACATTTATTTTAAAGTAACCCAATTCTTTAAAAACTTAGAATTGTTAGAATTATAATGTCTATCTTCTAAAATTAAATAAACTAGGTAAAAATAGCACTCACAGTAAGCTCTTACGCGTTAAACTTTGTTTCGAAATTTTATAATAATTCTTAATATTAAAATCTTAATATAAAAATAAAGATAGTATCAGTTTTAATAGTTGTATGATTATTTAGAAATAATTTTTACGGAAATATTATAAATTAATTTAAAATAATTTGTAAAAAATTTTAATTTTATTAAATTTATTTATAAGTAAAATTATAAAATTATGTTATAAATAGATTTTAATAATATCTTTAAAAATATTTGATGTAATCAATTAAATTTTAAAAATATTCAGAAGTAAAATTATTTGTAACACTTAGCTATAAGATTTTATTATTATTATTATATTATATATTATATACTTTTATTGTACATATTATTCTCCTTTAAATAAAATTTTATGAAATAAAATAATCTAAAACAGTATTTTACTTATTATGATTATAATAATTATCATATAATAATATAATAATATTATTATAATATTATGATAAATTTAGAAAAAATATTAATAATTAAAATTAAAACTAACATTAATTATTTATATTATAAACTAAAATTATGTATATATATATAAATTACAGATATTGATATAATTTTCGAACAAATTTTATGCTATACTTTGCTTGTTATAATTTGTGAGATAATTATACATGTAAATTATTTTCCTTTTTATTATTCGTATAAATATTTATAATAATTTACAATTTGCTACAAAGATTAATTTTATTGCTTGCAGCAATCACTATAAATTTGTTGGAAGTCTCAGTGAAGATGAATTATCATACCATTATAATATACCTGCTTGTAGTATATCACACTCTTGAACTCACCTTTTTAGGTATTCTTTCCGTATACTCTTTTATAATACAAATGTATTAATATTATAATATATTATATATTACAATATAAATATAATACAAATATAATATAATATAATTACAAAAATTATATAAATAAAGATACATTAAATAATATATTAAATAAATTTCAATCATTTAATTGCTTGCAACTCTTCGTTGTCAGATTTATTTTAACATTTAATGTGTCAATAGTGAACTTTATTTATACAGATTTAACTTACGTATACAATTTGTAACATTTATTTTACTATACTATACTATAATAAAATATAAGTAATAAATAACATAAATATATATATGTTATATAACTAACATTAATAAATAACATAAAATAGATTGATTGTAAAAATTAATTATAAATAATATCTATCTTAGGTAGGAAGAGTTACCTTAAGTTTCGAATTTTTAAATAAATATTTGTATTAATAATCAAAAATACTTCCAATTTTTATAAAATATTAGCTAAATTGGTTAAATTAATTTATACTAAAACAAAATTAAAATAAAGTTACTAGTGTATTTAATGAATGGATTGATGATAATATTAATTATGTCAAGTTAACACTTATTTTGAAATAGTAAAATTTTCTTTAAAAATAAAGGCAACGTTCTGATAATTGTTAATATAAAATAATATCATAAAATGAAGTGTTGCCTTGTAATATTATCTATTAATCATGATAGTATAATAGCTCATTAGAATAATATTAATAATTAAAAAACTGTTTTCATCAAAAATTATAAATTTATTTATATTATTTATATTATATAATATATTTCTATTAGTCACATATTTGGTATGTATTTTAATAGATGTATATAGTGTTTGAATGTTGAACATTTAAATATGAAAAAGGACGAGGGATAAGATAAAATTATGTGAGTAAGGGTTTCTATGTTGGTCGTGAAATTAGGTTACCAGCAAGAGTATTTTAAGTGTCAAGAATTTAAATCGTTATACAAGACGGTGACGCAATGAACAAATATTTAAATTTTATCCGAAGGTCAATAACCAAACAGAAAATTGACAAGATATAGTTTGGACTAACGAAAATATGTAATATAATAGCGAGTAAACAAATGAAATAAAAATAAAGAAATACACAAAAACGGGATCGAACGATTTTTCAAGAAAATAAAATTTCAATGAAAAATTGTAAGTGCATTAATATGGAATCAGATGTTATGCAGTATATCTATATAAAATCTGTAGGAATAAAAAAACATTTGAGAACGTTTTTAGAAAAATTTAAGATTTCGTTTCCAGAATTTAAGGCTTACTAGAAACGTTTATGATGAAACATAAGTCAATTGACGTATTTTCCACTACCTACTATTCGTGTATAAAGCTGTCACAAGAATGCAAGTCGTTAGATTATTGCTTTGCTCAAGCTTCGGCCAGATTATTTTTATTGGAGCATACTGATTTCAAGATAAAAAGTTAAGAGAAGGCCGACGATGAATGTCCTTATACGATGATTCATTTTGCTGCTTTCATAATAACTGTTGATTAAAACACATATTTATTTAATGAATGCGAACGTTATTAAAGTATTAAACGTAAGGAATAAATGATACAAATAATTTAATATAGGGTTCCTAAATTAATATTTAGGATTATGATTTATTTAAGGTTTTATTATAATTGTTAATGTACGCAGAGTTATTGTATGTTGACAAATTATTTATTTTTAAATCAATATGAAAAATAATTGAAACTTTTGAGATAGAATGAAAAAAAAATAAAAATGTTATAATTGCTTATATAATAACATACTATATCAGAATAATATATATTAGTATTAATAATATTTATAAATAAGTTCGTAACTAAAAATAAAGTATTGAATCATATTTAACAGTAAATATTAACATTTACCTCATATGAAAGAAATTTAAAACAAAATAAAAAACAATTTTTATAAATATAGGTATACCATAACACATATAGTAATAACAAATTATATATTCTAATGCATCGATTAGTACTAATTTATTAACTCTAAATGAGAATTTAATTTTCAAACTATATCTAAATTAAGTATATATATCAATATAACAAATATTATGATATATACAAAAAATTAACATTTTTTTATATTAAATATTATATAAGAATATTCTAATGAATACAATATTCTAATAAATATATTTATTCGACTTTTTGTTTAAATAAAGTTTTATTTATTATATTATATCAATGTCTCTATTCTATGTATTCTTCTTAAAGATTTTAAATTGCTTTTCATATGTCAATACTCACTATAATTTGATCTTTTTTATTAATTGTACTTAAAGTGAACTTTAACCGTAATTATACTTATAGACTTGATACTTATAGACTTGATTAAAAAGGTTTCATATTTATGAAAACATTAAATTACATTTCTTTGCAGTTCACTAAATATAACAACTTTGACAGTTATACATAAATTTCTGACTTTGAGTTATCGATAAATACTGGGGAAATGTAAAAAATAATTTTACATTTTCAAAAATAAGTTAAGGTATTTGAACAAAATTATTAAAATGATTATATCCGAACTTTACATTAGATTAATATACTACAATGCAATTATATTTCAAGTTATTATTAAAAAAAATGTGATTGTTTAGTTTTAACATTCATTTAATATTTTATTTCAATACGGTTCATTAAAAATTTTAGAAAAATTAAAC